GAGCTGACCACCGAGGTTGACAGGCCCTGAACATCCCTTCCGTATCCATTGCATTGACAGGATGTTGCTTTCTGGACCATATTGGCAAACCCAAGACTCGTTACAGTTAATTCCTTAAAATCTTCATCTCCAATCTTCCTTACAAAACTGAAGGTGAGTCTAGCTCTTTCAACAAGCTGATCTTCACGCAACGCTTCCTGAGGCCAGGATGTTCACTTGCAAACGAAAATGTTGAACCATGTGAGATCCCTACATAGTAGCTATCACATCATAATCCTACGGTTCTTTTTCACAAGCTTCTGCCACAGGTTATAAATGTACTAGGCTTCAACCTGTTTGTTTTAAATGATCTTGTGCTTGTATATGAAATATTAGTAACAACATTTTTTTACTAACCCTGGTGTATATGTGTATGGGTATACAGTCATGGATGTTCGAAGATTTCGGACTGTATCCATATCGCATACTTTTTTTTTCTTTTTGTTTTTGTTTAATCTATCTCTATATTGTAATTTTAAAAAAGTGGTGTAAATGATACATCAAGCATGTTAACATGTATATTCTATTCAGAGCAGATACTTAGTAGTCAGATACTGTACAGGAGGCTTGGGAACCATAGATTATAATTCTATCGGGTGTAGCATGTGCGTTTCTTGTAGACCTTTCCATTGGCTTTTTAAAACAAAACTGAACTGCTCCCTTTAAACACTTAAAACTAAATATCTATTTCTAGCCCATGCAACATTAAGAGCATGTAGCAATGAAATCTAAACAAGTTTATTTGATATACTGACGTTCGGGGAGTTCGTCTTCTTTATACATGTCTGTAAATCTTCCCTTCTCCAGGGTGTCACCATTAGGCATACATATGGATAATATGACGCCTGGGTAAACCGGTCGGTCAGGGCCCGCCCATGGTTTATGGACATGGCCCGCCCCTTTCCTCAGAGTAGAGGTATATAAAGTTCGTCTGAACCTGTGATGCTACCACTGGTCCTCCTCACAGACACCATGAAGATTGTAAGTAAAAAATGTGCTGTGTGCAGATATACAAGCTGTATTATGCGTTGTATGCTATAAGTGTTTAGTGCTCTGTATTATCTTTAGACTTATACTAGCCAAATGCCCGCAAATCTATTAAAACTTTCTATTTACAGATCTTTCTTGCCTGCCTTGCCGCCGTGGCTGTTGCCACTCCTCAGTTCGAGGACCGAGTGGTCGCCCTCCTTCGCGATGACCGCGTAGCCAACGAAGACGGCACCTTCTCCTACGCCCTGGAAGCCGACAACGGCATCAACACAGCCGTTGAAGGAGTTGTTGGATCAGCCGGCCAGATCAACCAAGCGGGATCTTACACGTAAGTTAAAAAGTAATGTAATTGCTTAAGGACCAAAAAATTGCTTACCTAGTTCCTTAATTATTAAATTATTCACGATGAAGAATCTACATACCGGAAATTGATACATGTTCTAATATTTACAATTCTTACAGCTACACCCTTGCGGACGGTACTCAGGCTGTTGTCACTTTCGTCGCCAATGAGAACGGCTTCCAGCCCCAGTCCAGCATCCTGCCCACTCCCCACCCTCTTCCCGCCCACGTCTTTGAGCTGTTGGAAATCGCCGAGCGACAGCGCGCTGCTGGCATCGTGTTCAACTAAGGAATAAGAAAAAAATAGCAAGCAAAAAGAACGGATGTGAAATGAATGTTGAATGAATAAAGTTATGACCGATCTCGTTATTTTTATTTCGTTCACACTGGGAGAACACTATAGGATCTTTGTGCCTCTAAACATTATTCATTTTACGAAACGCAGTGACATCATTCGACTAATTAGGATTATTAATTTCGGTATCTCAAAATCTGTTGTCTGAGCGTAATATTTATAAATGTGTAATAATCATAAATGATTATTGCTATTAAATTACTGAAGATTCTGTATAATCCATCATTCTCTGATATGTTAATATTTCTCAGCACGAAGGCAATAAAAAAAAATATTGAAAATGCAAAACAAATCGTCAATGTTTTCTTGACATTATGTTAGTAACTTTTTTTTTCTTTATATCTACGATGGTCAATTAAAATCATCGCAGAGACACACTGAGATTGTATTTTCATGAAAATAACATTTTAAAATATTTAGCGATATTCATGGAATAAACTGCACGTGTCCATTTTCACTGGCAGTTGAGTTTTTCTTCATCCCAATTCTTTCATCTGGCCAACATTAATGATTGTTTAGATCATTAGAGGTGGTAGAAAAGAAAGAATGCTAGAAAACAAAGTAAAAGAACGAAACACACAATCGAGCACGTATAGATATGAATATATGTTCTCTCTCTTTTATATATATGTATATATATACATGCACACACACACACACACACACACACACACACACACACACACACACACACACACACACACACACATATATATATATATATATATATATATCAGCAAATGTTGAAAGGTATGAATGAAAATTAATATCTTCACAATACAAGAGATGTATTTGACCAGTTTGGAATATATCTTCTTCAGAAATACATATATACTGCATATTTCTGACGAAGATAGATATTCGAAGCAAGTCAAATGTATCTCTTGTATTGTGAAGATATTTATTCTCATTCATACCTTTCAACAATATATGTATATATATATACATATACATATATACACACACGCACATATTTGATATCAAGACATCAAAACATAAAGCTATCATTACTCTATATATTGTCCATCTAGGTCTACACATTTCTGAAGACGATATTTCCATTTTTCAAACCCAAATCTGAGCTCTTCAATTCACAGTCATGTCAATACGGAAGTTTTAGCCTCACAAGGGACTCACTTTGAAATTCTCTTTCACTTTGGGATCAAATAGAAGTCTGAGGGGACACCAGGGCTGCAGAGTGGATGGGGTTAAAGTCTGCCAACGAAGTTCTCGTAAGAAAACCTTGCTACCCTCTACGAATGATCTGGCATGTTGTCACAGTAGACCAAAATCCTGCTGTTCAGCTTCCCTGTCTTTTTCCAGTATTCAGTTTTCATAACAATTCCTCATAATAAGCAACTGTGATCGTTTTGTCCCTCGAGGAAATCTATCAAGATGACCTCTTTAGAATACCCTACCCCAAGAAAAAAGAGAAAAAAAGAAAAGAAAAGAGAGAGAGAGAGAAAAAAAAAACAGCCACTATCTTCTGAGCTGACCACCGAGGTTGACAGGCCCTGAACATCCCTTCCGTATCCATTGCTTTGACAGGATGTTGCTTTCTGGACCATATTGGCAAACCCAAGACTCGTCCCCGGATACAGTTAATTCCTTAAAATCTTCATCTCCAATCTTCCTTACAAAACTGAAGGTGGGCCTAGCTCTTTAAACAAGCTGATCTTCACGCAACGCTTCCTGAGGCCAGGATGTTCACTTGCAAAGAAAAATGTTGAACCATGTGAGATCCCTACATAGTAGCTATCACATCATAATCCTACGGTCCTTTTTCACAAGCTTCTGCCACAGGTTATAAATGTACTAGTCTTCAACCTGTTTGTTTTAAATTATCTTGTGCTTGTATATGAAACATTAGTAGCAACATTTTTTGACTAACCCTGATATATATGTGTATGGATATACAATCATGGATGTTCGAAGATTTCAGACTGTATCCATATCGTATATATATATATATATATATATATATATATATATATATATATATATATATATACATACATACATACATATATATATATATATATATATATATATGTATATATATATATATATATATATATATACATACATACATACATATATATATATATATATATATATATATATATATTATATATATATATATATATGTATATATATCTTGTAGACCTTTCCATTGGCTTTTTAAAACAAAACTGAACTGTTCCCTTGAAACACTTAAAACTAAATATCTATTTCTAGCCCATGCAACATTAAGAGCATGTAGCAATGAAATATAAACAAATTTATTTGATATACTGACGTTCGGGGAGTTCGTCTTCTTTTTACATGTCTGTAGATCTTCCCTTCTCCAGGGTGTCACCATTAGGCATACATATGGATAATATAACGCCTGGGTAAACCGGTCGGTCAGGGCCCGCCCATGGTTTATGGACATGGCCCGCCCCTTTCCTCAGAGTAGAGGTATATAAAGTTCGTCTGAACCTGTGATGCTACCACTGGTCCTCCTCACAGACACCATGAAGATTGTAAGGAAAAAATGTGCTGTGTGCAGATATACAAGCTGTATTATGCGTTGTATGCTATAAGTGTTTAGTGCTCTGGATTATCGTTAGACTTATACTAGCCAAATACCCGCAAATGTATTAAAACTTTCTAATTACAGATCATTCTTGCCTGCCTTGCCGCTCTGGCTGTTGCCACTCCTCAGTTCGAGGACCGAGTGGTCGCCCTCCTTCGCGATGACCGCGTAGCCAACGAAGACGGCACCTTCTCCTACGCCCTGGAAGCCGACAACGGCATCAACACAGCCGTTGAAGGAGTTGTTGGATCAGCCGGCCAGATCAACCAAGCGGGATCTTACACGTAAGTTAAAAAGTGATGTAATTGCTTAAGGACCCAAAAATTGCTTACCTAGTTCCTTAATTATTACATTTTTTCACGATGAAGAATCTACATAACGGAAATTAATATATGTTCTAATATTTACAATTCTTACAGCTACACTCTTGCGGACGGTACTCAGGCTGTTGTCACTTTCGTCGCCAACGAGAACGGCTTCCAGCCCCAGTCCAGCATCCTGCCCACTCCCCACCCTCTTCCCGCCCACGTCTTTGAGCTGTTGGAAATCGCCGAGCGACAGCGCGCTGCTGGCATCGTGTTCAACTAAGAAAAAGAGAAAATAAGGAAATGATATGTATGAAAGTGAAATTCAAGTTGATACAATAAATTTTATGATTGATCTTATTACTTTTCTTCTCAAGGAATTATGGAATAACACTACACAATATGACATCCATTAGTAAGCAATTATTGTCATATATTTCTTTCTGAGTTAAGTGTATTTTTTATACAAATGTACATTCAGTTGTTAGTAACAATGCCATGATTACACGCTGTCTTTTACCCCATGGTATCAAATGCGTGTACGTTATACTGAGTAGCAGTTAGACCTGAGCCAACACTATATACACTGAGATTAAACAGCTTACCAAATTAAAATGGAACAAGAAATTTGCTTCGACATAAATAATGTGGCATCGCTTCCCCATAGTGCAGGATATGCAGTGATATGTCCACCCTATGTTTATACTCTTTAATACAATGGACTTTCTGTGCTTTCAACCACTATATTTTCTGCCTATAATAAGTAGAAAATAAATTGTAAGAAGGTAAACAAGTGTATAGGGTAAAACACAAGGAACATAAAATTCAGGTTCAAGGACAAGGTAGTGTACTGTATGTAAAAGGCAAACTGCCGCCGGGCTGATAAGGTAGTCATATCTAATGCTTACACTGAGGAAGCTGCAGTTATTATGGGCCGCAAGGTAAACCCTTCGGCGCAATGACATAGATGGTTTAGTGCTTCATGAATAATAATATCGGTTCGGGTAAGAGGCATTGCCTGAATATTTATATCAAATATGGGATATCTATACAGTAGAAGAATGATAAGAACTTCATTGATATGATGTACTGTGAATAATACTATACTACTGTAATTTTCACTAATATACAGGAAAACACACATGTGCATGTGAATGTGTGTGCGTGTGTACTTGTGCATACATATACACACATATATGTATATATATAGACACACATACATGTATATATATAGACACACATATATGTATATATATAGACACACATATATGTATATATATAGACACATATATGTATATATATAGACACACACATATATGTACATATATAGACACATATATGTATATATATATAGACACACACACACATATATATATCTTTTCTGTATATGAGTATATCTTTGTGTATGTGTGCATAGGTGAAACTTACATGCACACACACACACACACACACATATATATGTGTGTTTATATTCATAAACACACACACACACACTTATATATATATATATATATATATATATATATATATATATATATATATATATATATATATGTATGTGTGTGTGTGTGGTGTGTATGTGTGTGTGAGGTGTTTTTTTGTGTGTAATATGTATGCTAGCACACACATATACATATAGGCAAAGGGAGAGAAAGGGAGAGAGGAGCAACTTTCAATAGGGCGGGAAAAGAAGGTAATCATAAATATTTTAACATTTTAATCCCAAAAAGTATTCACCGCTGAAGACCATAGCAGTAGACGCGGCAGATGATCTTAGATAATCAATCCCAAAGATCTCTGGAAGATCACCAAATGAGCCAAACATATAACATTAGTTTTGTTACTGTGAAATAATACCATAAAATAACATAGCTACAGTTTAACATATTTTGACTAAATGACTCTCTGACTAGAAATATTTCACGCATAGTTAAAAAGAATAATTCATTGCAGAGGGGCCTATCGTGACATATCAATGTGATCAAGTACTAGTCATATGTCCAATTATTCCTTTAATATAGTCTTAAACCGTGTCTAAGTACATTTGTACACACACAAATGTATATAAATATAAGCACATCCATATATATATATATATATATATATATATATATATATATATATATATATAAAGCAGAATCAATGTTTGTCATCGGTAAGTTATTATAAATTACACTATCATTTCACTGATACATCTTCATAACTGGATTAAAAAGTATATACACAAATACTATTACAGCTTTTGAAATCTACTTTCATAACAAAGGCCAGTGAAATACATCGCTCCCTATAACTGGCCGGTTCGGGCACTGACTCCGCCCAAAAGGCTTTAAGGAAGGTCCCGCCCCTTCATCATAGGCCATGTATAAAGGTCGCCTTATGTTGTAAGGATACCTACTTGGTATTCGTTAAAGTCACTACCATGAAGATTGTAAGTAGTGGGAAAAGTTGGTTCCAAGGTAGCAGATATTCAGACAAACTTTTACAGTATAGAAAGCGAATTCACTTGTACTTATATAAAGATCTCACGTGCATATAAATGCAGGCATATACTTATATAAATGTTTATATTCATACATGGGTCTACTTTTAAAATTTTTAATGATTTCGATTTATAGTTCGTGGCAATTATTGTTGTTAAAGGTTGGCTGTTTTCACAGATCATTCTTGCCTGTCTCGCCGCCGTGGCTGTTGCCACTCCTCAGTTCGAGGACCGAGTGGTCGCCCTCCTTCGCGATGACCGCGTAGCCAACGAAGACGGCACCTTCTCCTACGCCGTGGAAGCCGACAACGGCATCAACACAGCGGTTGAAGGAGTTGTTGGATCAGCCGGCCAGATCAACCAGCAGGGATCTTACACGTAAGTGGTGAAAGAAAAGAAAGTTGATACACAAATATTGCAATCCTTCATATGAAGGAATAATACTTCATGACATTAGGTACAACTGGTGTCTTTCCAAATGTCTGAAAATTGTCATTCACTAATTCTTTTAATTATCTTTCCATTACATACAAGAACATTTGCTCCCCTTCTATACTAATGCAAGTGTTGTATATTATCTGATCCTTACAGCTACACCCTTGCGGACGGTACTCAGGCTGTTGTCACTTTCGTCGCCAACGAGAACGGCTTCCAGCCCTCGTCCAACATCCTGCCCACTCCCCACCCTCTTCCCGCCCACGTTTTTGAGCTGTTGGAAATCGCCGAACGTCAGCGCGCTGCTGGCATCGTGTTCAACTAAGAAATAAGAAATAATGATAAACGAAATGAATGCTGACAATAAAGTGTGTGACTGATCACATTATATTTATTTCGTTCACATCTCTACACCGTATTCAAGTTCTTTTGTCTGAAAGTAATGATTGTATGAAAATACATGATACAGTTTTCTTATTCTGATATGTTACATGCAAATCATACTAGCTGTGATACAAACAGTTTTATAGCTAAAATGCAATTCTATCGAAAAGACTATACTATCACAGATAAAGTTACTATCAAATTACTAAATATGTTATATAGCCCATCATTATCTGGTAAATTAACACTTCTTGGTCCTTCATAATGAAATTATGTATATATACATACACACACACACACACACACACACACACACACACACACACACACACACTATATATATATATATGTGTGTGTGTGGAAGACATATATAATATTACACTTGGTATCAACATAAATTTACCAATTGTTTACATCTACGCTGGCTGATAAAATCAAAGTAGACACACATTTACATTGTCTTTACATGACCTAAACATTATGTTCTTTTCTGGATAACATTCAAGAAAGTGGATAGTTTAATTCGTTAGAGCTGATAGGTGGCCGTGATAGAAAATCAACGAATAGAACGAAAGTTTAATGAATCTGTTAAAGATCAAACGCGAACAAACACAAACGCAAACATGTATGTATAGACATTTATAAAATTGCATAATTATATACTAATGTGTGGGGGTGAACGTATGTGTATATACATACACATATGAACCAACACAAACACAGGCATATAGATATACATGCATACATACATACATATATATGATTATATATGTATATATATGTGTGTGTGTATGTGTGTGCGTTTGAGCGTATATGCATATACATATATACATAATTTGTAATCTTCATGTACTGTATGTACAGTTTTGTTACCCGAAAGTAATGGTCATATAGTATTCAAATAACAAGAATAACATTTATAGATGTTGGCATTTAATTTTACTGACGTATAAATATACACTGATTTGCAATGATTTTCATACAATTTAGGATTTTTTCTTTATGCCGTAGCAGGATTTTATAAACTGAATATTTGCTTTGAATTCCTGTTCATTTCGCTATTTGTATTTACACGTTCTTTCCCAATAGCGCAATTCTGAGTAGCAGTCAAACCTGGGGTAACAGTATCAGCCTTGATGTTGAAGGGCAAAACAAAAACAGAAATGTAACATATAACTTATTATTGATTTCCCATTTTACAGAACATACTCATGCAGTTATATCTGCGCCGTATGGTCTATATTTATGGCCATACAATTTTCTTGTCTAATTGCAGATTTCGACAACTATTTTATTCAAATTTATCAGAAATTAACCGAAAAGGAAGATATGCCATGAATGATTCAAAGTATATATATGTATGTATGTATGTATGTATGTATGTATGTATGTATGTACGTATGTATGTATGTATGTATATGTATGTACTTTATGTTCCAGAATGTTGAATATGAAGACAGGGATTAAGTGTTCGACCAAAACTTCCACTACCAATAAGTGCACAAAATGATTGGTTAACTCTTTTGCATAACCTGCTTGGAAAAAGGCAGAAATTGTTTTGTTCTCATATAGGTGATGCCATACATGTATTCAGGGGCAAAAGCCGCCACTTGTTCCTTAAAGGGGCTATTTGCGAAATGCATGATCAATTTCGTGACGAATATATGAAATGCCACTTAGATACTTTACGTACAATGCCTTTAATAATACTTTACGTATAATGCTTTTAACAATACTTTACGTACAATGCTTTTAATAATACTTTACATTCTTCAGCTGTAAAATAACTCAAAGCCTGTGGAATAAAAAGAAAGAATGAAAGAAAAAAGAAAGACACAAAGAAGAAGAAGGAAGAATAATAATGATAATAATAATAAGAAGAAAAAGAAGAAGAAAAAAACAAAACGAAACGGCAAGAGTAAAAGGTAAAGTACAAGGATGGTAAAGTTCAGGTTCAAGGCCAAGATAGTGTACTGTATGTAAAAGGCAAACCGCCGCTGGGCTGCTGAGGCGGTTAAGTCTGCCCCTAATACTGGAAGCTGTAGCGCCAACAGGTACTATGCGCCCCCAGGTAAACGTTCCGATGTAATTACAGAGATGGGCCCGGCTCTCAGTGAAGCAGCCGTGTTGTGAAGGAGGTCAGGGCAAAAGCAGCGAATTGAAAGTATCTGGTGTGGAATAGCTACAGAATGGCATAGGATTTTAATTTGAGTAACTTGTATATTCCAGTATGATAAATGACACTATGCACAGGCAAGAAGCATTCATTTTTACATAAAGTACACAAACATGCATACAAACATATATACATACATACACACACACACACACACACACACACACATATATATATATATATATATATATATATATATATATATATATATATATATATATATATACATACACTCACACATGCATACATGTATATGAATATATAAATATATGTATAAATATTTATATATATGTATATATATGTATACAAGTACATGTATATATGTATATATATATATATATATATATATATATATATATATATATATATATATATATATATATATATATATATATATACATATTTGCATATACATATACATACATTCATATATACATACACACATATATATATATATATATATATATATATATATATATATATATATACATATATATACATGTATATATAAATATATAAATATGTATATAAATATATTTATATATATGTATATATATGTATACAATACGTATATATATATGTATATATACATTTCCATATACATATATATAATATACATAAAATATATATATATATATATATATATATATATACATATCCATATATATATATATATATATATATATACACATATATATGTATATACATATATGCACACACACATATATAAATACAAGTAGTAGTAAGTATAAAGATGCATATGCATATATGTATATATATACATATATGTATATAAATACACACACACACACACACACACACAACACACACACACACACATATATATAATATATAATATATATACATATTATATATATATAATATATATATATGTATATTATGTATATATATATATATATATATATATATATATATATATATATATATATATATATATATATATGTGTGTGTGTGTGTGTGTGTGTGTGTGTGTGTGTGTGTGTGTGTGTGTGTGTGTACACACACGCGCATCCACACACACACACACACACACACATATGTAAATGTGTGTGCGTGTGTATGTATATATAAATACACACACACATATATGTATATATATGAATATATAGATATATATAGATATAAAGATATGTATGTAATCATTTGTACATATTCATATATACACATATGCATATATACAGTACATATATTTATATATCTGTATACAAGTATATATATATATATATATATATATATATATATATATATATATATATATATGTTTGTATATATATGTATATATTCATATGAATATACATATGTATTTATATATATATATACATATCTAAACATCTATATCTATATATATGCACTATATATCTATATATATGCACACATATCTAACTATCTATATATATACATATCTATATATTGATATAAATGCACGATTATTTACAATTTTTAAGTATTAGAGAAAATCTTCTATTACTGAAAAAATATCTTCCTTTGTTACAATAAATTGAAGTAAGTGAAATAACGAAAAATAATGCTTAAAATTTAAATCCACCATCAAAAGAAAATCGAGTCAAAGGTATTGCCTCTCTTACTTGGCTTGAACAGTGGCTCCGCCCATACCCTGTGAGGAAGGTCCCGCCCCCTCTTCATAAGCTGTATATAATGGTCGTCGTAGGCTGTGAGGATACCTGTCTGGTGTTCTTTAAAACCGCTGCCATGAAGATTGTAAGTGGGATGAAGCAGCTTCACAGCAATTGTCACTAAAACTGTGTATAAATGTATTCATACATACAACTATCCATACACATGTGCGCATAATAGTATGCACAAATAGAAATATATTAAACATATATCCGTGCATTCCTATATACACGATTGTGTATATATTCTATCGGTTTAGATATTAGATGCTTAAAAGTCTGTGGGAATTATCTGCTTAAGATTCCGCTTTGTTTCCAGATTGTTCTTGCCTGTCTTGCCGCCGTAGCTGTTGCTGCTAAGCTGGAGGACCGAGTGGTCACCCTCCTTCGCGATGACCGTGTAGCCAACGAGGACGGCACCTTCTCCTACGCCGTGCAAGCCGACAACGGCATCAACACAGCCGTTGAAGGAGTCGTTGGATCTGCCGGTCAGATAAATCAGCAGGGATCTTACACGTAAGTGGTGAACATTTGCGAACTATTGCAGTCGGTAATAGATAGAAATTACGTTTGCTAGTACTTCAAACATCAAATGCACACGGTATATTCCAAAAATAGGCTGAAAGTCCCAATTCTTTGCTCCTTTTTCTGTTTCCATCACATACACAAAGTTATGTCCACTGCCTTACCAATTAAATTTTTAATGCTTGTACTCTGATCTCTACAGCTACACGCTAGCAGACGGTACCCAGGCTGTTG